TTTATTATATTTTCAGTAATGAAGATAACCTAAATTTTTATGTCCTCCAGGTTGTTGTCTTGAAAGGACATTTCTCATCTTATGGTGATCTTTCTACTGTGGAGTTAGAAGAGTTAGAAGCTAATGATGGGAGTAATGTATCAGAGGCATCAAAAAATTTTGAGGTTCATGTGACTTTCACAACACGCCAAGCAGCTGAGAGGGCATTTGAATATGGTAAATGCTGGCAAGGCCATGATTTGCAATTCACATGGGAGACATCAAGTAATTCCAGCATTTTCACTGGTAGCAGAGAAAGGTCCGTCTCCACTTCTAAGGGACCTGTAGATGCTGAGGTTCAACCTGTAGAGGAATCAGGATCTGTTCTACATCAGGAAGCTGCTACATCAGGAAATAAGGGACCCGAAAAGGCAGAAAGAGAAGGTGGTATTAAGTCTATGGAAGTGCATGAAGTTTTGCAACCTAGTTCAACCCCAGTTTCCAGGGAGAAAGAGCCATCAAAAGTCAATTGTTGAGGATGGGCTGATCAGTGGGGTCTGTACAGTGAGGTAAAATGTTTTAATTCTTCTCTAATTTCAGTCGTTTTTGCGTCATCAATTGCTGAAATTTCATTTTGCAATACATCTTATTTCATGCATTGGGATAATGTAAAAAAGGGAAACTTTCTGATTTTAATTGCCACCCGGGATAAGGGTTGGCTGTGGCAATTTGTGTTGTCTTTCAGGTTAAAATGTCTAGGACAAAAGGACAATGAATCAAAAAGTTAGTTACATTGAAATTAATTAAATGGTTCAGAAAAAGAGAAGGGATCTGATCCCCGTTCGTAGTTGAGTTACACCATGCTAGCTGATCTCAGAAATTATATATCATCTCTGTAACAGCAGCTCTACTTTGATTCCTGTTTGATGATGGCATTCTTGGCCAGTTATTTCAATTCAGCCATATATTAATATTGGAGATTTGTAGGCCATTTGTTCTATGGTACCTCATATGTCGGGTCCGAGTGTCCCCGTTCCTCAGCTTTTTGGGGAAAGATTTGAAAATTTAGTTAGTGTTTAATGCATTCTTCGTGTCTAATGCGGTGTCAATGCAAGTCCTGATAGGAATGAGAAGCTCTTTGAGATGAGGGTAAAGGAGACAACCAAATGGTATTATCCAAGTGTCGTTACCTTGTCTTTTCTGTGATTTAATAGCTATTACAAGATCTCTTAAGGTTCTGAATTCTTATTATCTTAAAAAGAAAACCTTGGGCTCAGATTGGGAGAGGGGGAAGAGAAGAGGAAAGACCAATTTGGTATTCACAACTAACTATTAGTTGCTGATGATAAGAAAATGGAGATGGCAAATATTAGCTAACAAAATACTTTGTTGGGAGAAGTGAATTATGGTTAGTCCATTTTTGTCCTTCTCCAAACAAAGCCTTTATGCAAGAAAATACATATTATAGTTACAACTCGTGGTGTGTATAGGAGAAAGTTTGGAGAGAATGTGTTACTGGTGACTATCGAGAGGGTTCCTAATGTTGGATCATAAAAGAAAAATGTCTTGGGTAGCCGTACAAACGAGCCTGAAAAAAAATTGTGTTTTTGAGAGTTTGATCAACTAGAAGAGACTTGTGTTGATCTTTTGGCTGTCTCTCCTTGGTGGGTTATTACTTCAATCCATATTTGTTTCCACTAGAAATTTACGAGGATCAATCATATTCTCACCCAGTATTTTGAGTAGCTACCATCATGACTAGTGGAATTTTTTTTTTTAAATTTAGGACCAATTTTTTTATTTTATTTTATTTAAACTCTCATTTGTTAAATTTACATTTAGATAGTTAAAAAGTGTTGGTTATATGTTATTTGATTACAACATTATTGGTAAAAAAATAAAAATAAAAAGAGAAACTTGTATTATAATATAAGATTGGACCCGCACTCCATTTTAGTGGGAAATGAAAGGCAAGGTTAGTGAGCAAAGGAACTAATTGATTTTGTACGAGTTTACTTTTAAAAAAATTAGGATAAATATTAAGTTATTTCTCAAAGTTTTAACATTTATTATAATTCTATTTTGATATAATTTGGATGTTTAAAAAAAATAATTTTGACCCATTATTAATAAAAATAAATTGATATCAACTTTTAAGCATTTGAATGTAAATTAGTTATTTTAATATTTTCTGTGAAAAAAAAAAAAAAATTACAAAAATTCATTATATCTTAATCAAATGCATCAGATAAACAGTGAATAATTTAATTTGATTAGTAGCTTATATTATGGCTTTGTACCAAGTTGTTAGTATCTCCGACAACACCATTATGTTAACTTCGACATTGCTGAAATTTTATAATTATTATTATTGGGTTACAGAGTCAATCCTTAAGCAGCTCTACGACACGAAAGTCGAACAAAAGCAAAAACTCAAAAACAGAAAACAACCATGGGCCAAGTATAATCAAGAAAAAGTTAGATGAGAAAATTTATAGGCCTTCCTTTTTTCCCCGTCTGCTATTCTTCAATGGGATGGAGAACACAAGATTGGACTACATCAACAAGACAATTTTTGGGGGTATTTTCGTAATTTAATTAGTGAATATCATACATACATTCTATAACTTCAGTTTTAATTTGATATAAGATCAAAATATAAAGGGATACTTGATTTAATTCAGTTGTTAATAAATACTAATTTAATAAACCATAAGAGAAAACCACCAAATTTGAAAGTGCTTGATTGAGTTCCTGCTGAAATTTTAAGACCGCCTGCACGCATATAATCTTCATCCACTAAATGGAACTGATAGGTTACTGCTGGAAACAAAGAAGCAGTTAACTATAGGTTCTTATATGGTGCCTCCAAAACATCATTTTTTCTAACTTTTGTGATAATTCATTAACATTATAAAAAATCACTCAATTACTATACAAAAGTTAGAGAATTACTATAAATATTAGAAAATTACCGGGAGTCATTGTAGATTTTTCCGTCTGAAACAAAAAGCAATTACTCTCCCATCAATTCAGTAGCAAACAAGTTCTTAGTGTTATGTCTGTCCGACCTGGGAACCGATGCATATTCTTTTCCTAATTTCAGTTCCTCCTTGAGAATCCAAAGTTCGGTTGAAATACAACTACTTTCCTTTTAGGGCTCTATTGCTCTTTAGCAGATACTCACAAACAATGACAGCCCGAGTCGCAAACCTTTCATTTGAAAGGCAGATGATAGTCTTTGTTTCGTCTGATACACGTAGCTTCCACAACTTCACTGGGCTCTTTAGACTTGTCCGACGTAAACTTCTCAACCATTTCTTTCTGAGACATTATTCAGTTGTATCCATGTTAATCTCTGCCAATTTGTAGGTGGTAACAAGAGAACAAGTCGATATTTCAGCTTTAAGCTTCCTTCCAGTGAACATTGGAATATTATTCCATGAGAAGGCCCCAGACAACGAAGCTTGGGAGGCGGGGAGGAAATGAAAGGAATTAGTTTATCATCACTGGAAGATTGTAACTTGGAAGAATAAATGAAATAAAAACCATTTAAATTAGAAAGATAAATCATTTCTTGCAAAGATTAAACTACCTCCATTCTATTCCCTCTTCCAAACAGAGCCTCAATTCCTAACTGGAAACTAAACCAGAGCCTTAGTTCCTAACTTGAACCTACAACAATATTGGGGCAACAACCATCTCGTGTCCTCCACCCTATCTCATCTTAAGCATAGAATCATATATCATGCTTCCATTGTAGTCCCAAGAGAAGGCATCTGATAATGTTGAATTTTTCAAAATGTCACTTTCTAGTTTCATTCTACTTCAAGACTCTGTTCAACCCCACTTCTTTCCATAAACCTTGGATCAGATACTTGCATGTTAAGCTGTTTGGCGTAAACCCAAGTTTCAGCATCCCCTCCTGAAGCTGCATTAGCTTTGGCACATCACCCAATTCAGAAAATATTCTGGCAAGCGTGTTGTAACTTTCATTATCAAAAATGTGAAATTCCTTGGCAAAGAAGCACAACAAGGATTCTGCTTTATCAACATTAAATCCTTTGCAATAGCCTTTTATCAAATCCCTGCATATTTGTAGATCAGGAAGGAGACCAGATTCAAGCATCTCTTCCATCAAGGATTCAGCCTCTGCATTTCTACATAGTCTACACAAACAGCTTATAAGAACTCGATATGTAACAAGATTGGCCTTTGTCCTCCAATTTTCCATTTCAGCTTTCAGATATAATGCATCTGTCACTGAATCATTTTTGCAGAAAGACCCTATCAGTTCATTACAGATCTCCAATTTGGGCATGTAACCGTTGTGACTGATTCTCTCCAATAGACTTTTTGCCGCAAATGGTCTGTCCTCATTACACAAAGAAACTATTAGGTAATCATAAATATCCCTTGTGATAGAAACCCTGAATCTCTGAAGTTCAACAACCAAGTTCAAAGCTGAAAGCAACCTTCCCTCTCTTGCATATCCTTCCACAAGGGTCCAACATGTAAAATCATCAGGGTAAAACCCATTTCCAATCATTTCGTATAACAATGACCTTGATTCTGCCATCCGTCCTTCTTTGCTATAACTGCAAATCAGGGTGTTATATGAAACAACATCTGGAGTAATCCCTCGGTGAATCATCCTATGGAAGAGTTGATGAGCTTCTTTCACTTTCCCCTCTTTACAAAGACCATTCATCAATGCCGTATAAGAAACCAAATCCGGCATCACCCGTCTCCGGTACATGATCCTATACAAATAAAATGCATCACCCAACCTTCTCTTCCGACAGTAGTTAGATATCAATGTATTATATGTCACTAAATCGGGATCAAAGCCTTCTTCTTCCATTTTCTCTAAAAACTCATTAACCTTGTCCAAATCTGCATCCTTGCACAGAGCATTAGTCAAAATATTGAAAGTACACGAATTCCGACGAATCCCAAATCTTCCCATCAATTCATGCACTTGCCAACATTTATCAATGCAATTCAACTTTAACAACCCATTCAAGAGATGATTACAAGCTATGACAGTAGGTGTGAAACCAAGCTGAATAGTCTTCCTAAAAGCCCCGTAAGCCTCTCTAATCATATCAACTTTTACATAAGCCCTAATAAGCATATCGAAGATAACAGGGTCCCAATTGCACTCTTGGGCACCTAAAACTAAACTTTGAAAAACATCTTCGTTGGACAAATTATCCGTATTGAACTGAATCAGTTCGTGCAAAAAATTCATGGCTAGTGAATATTTCTTAGACCAAGCCAATATATGAACTATGAGGCAGTAGTTATGAGTAGAAGGTTTAATACCTAGATCATTTTTTACCCAATTGAAGAAAAGGAGAGCTTGGGAAGAATCAGACTGGCATCTAAGTAAAATCCTGGAGATTTCATGGCTACCTAGATGTGAAATAAGGAATTTTATATCGTTCTGAAGAAGAGATAATTGAGCACTGCCTTGTTTTAGAGCTAACTTGATGAGATTGACTATGTTGGCGGGGTTTTGGCCGGAAGGGAGGAAACTGTAAAGTGGATTCGACAGATATTTCGATTGGGAATTCGGTAGGGTTTGCAGAGATGAGGAAGAAGAAGAAAAAGAGAAAGTTGAACTCAGTCTGCAACTTATGCCAAAGAATGGACAAGACGAGATCTGATAACTCGAAGGGATCCAT